TCCCGCCCCGGAAGCACGGTAGGCAGAACCCGCCCCCAACGACCTCTCGAGATTCCCGGCCCCGCCTCCTACCTCTGCGGGTCCGCCTGCTGCGCGTGCGCACTTTAAACAACACGCTTTAAGTCAGTTTTTGTGGTCTGGAGAATTGCTCACCGTCTCTCTTTCCGGGTTGTTAGTGCCAGGAAGTCTCAACGCCAGCTGAGCGGGGGTCATTTCAGAGCTACTTGGGCACTGCGGTCCACTAGCTTCTGGGACGCCGGACGCCGGCTCCGCCCATCGCCCCGGAAGTACTCTCGCTGCGTGGGGGTGTCTGGGCCTGTTCGCCGTCCGCGCTTCCTTTTTTGTCCGACATCTTAGCGAGGCTGCTGCGGCGGTAGCTGCTCTCGAGCTTCGTGATGGTAAGCTTCGGGACGTAGAGCCTGGGCGCTCGGAAGCCGGGGCAGTGCGCGGGTCCAGGCGGGGCAGTACCGGCAGTACCGCGGCCCCTGAGGGGCGCTCGCTCCGCACGAGGCGGCCGGCGGGTCGCTGCAGCCATGTGCTCCGGTTGTGGGAGTTGGGGCCCGGGTGGGGGTCGCCGCAGTTGCGGGAGCATGGGGCCGTCTTATAACCTGCCGCCCCTGCTTTACTTCTGCAGCCGCCCAAGGACGACAAGAAGAAGAAGGATGCCGGGAAGTCGGCCAAGAAGGACAAAGACCCAGTGAACAAATCTGGGGGCAAGGCCAAGAAGAAGGTCGGAGGGAGCCCCGTTTAGGGACGGGGAACGGGGCCGGCCTCTGCCAGGCGTGGCACGGGGGGCGGGGTTCCAAGTGGCGGGGTCTCGAGGGACTTGCTCAAAGTGCCCCATTAAGAACGAAGAGGTGGGCTCTCCGTACCCCCACTGCCCGCGGGCACCTTTGGGCGTATAGTGACCCTACGTAGTTTGCAGAAGCGACCTGCCGCTAGCAGTCCACCGCCAAAGCCACGGGGACTCGTACACGGTGTTGTCAACTCGGTCCCAGCTCAGTGACCCTGTGCACTTCCAGGTCGTGTGCCCTCACAGTTGGCCACTCGGGCAGTCCCACCTCACTGAGGGGCTTTTTTCCCATGACCCTCCACTTTGCCAAGAGTGTGGTGTCCTTTGGAGACTTGGTGGCTCTTGAGAATGTGTCCGAAGTAGGCGAGAACTGCCTCTCCAGTTCCACTTAAAAAAAAAAAATTATTAGAGGCACGATCCATACATCAGTTGTGTAAAGCACATTTGTACATTCATTGCCCTTATCTTTCTCAAAACATTTGCACGCCACTTAAGCCCCTGGCATCAGCTCATTTTTCTCTCCTTTCTCCCTCATGAGCCCTTGATAATTTATAAATTATTTTGTCATATCTTGCCCGGGAGGTGGTCACATGTAGATCCTTGTCATTGGTTCCCCCTTTCCAACCCACTCTCCCTCTATGCTCCCAGTTTCTCCGTTCACACCACTGGTCCTGAAGGGATCATCCGCCCTGAATTCCCTTCCACTCCCACTTTTAAGGGCCACATTGGCTGTACTTTGATGAGCAGAGCTTTGCGCCTGTTGCTGGTCCTTGAGGGTACCGGCATCGGCCTCAGAGAATGTCCTTTCTGGTGGCTTGAGAGTGCTGCCTGCAGGCCAGCTTGGGAGAAAATGCTTCTGCCAGAAAACTGACTTTCCTCTTCTGGTTTTGTGAGCAGAAGTGGTCCAAAGGCAAAGTTCGGGACAAGCTCAATAACCTGGTCTTGTTTGACAAAGCCACCTATGACAAGCTCTGTAAAGAAGTTCCCAACTATAAGCTGATCACCCCAGCTGTCGTCTCTGAGAGATTGAAGATTCGTGGTTCCCTGGCCAGGGCAGCCCTCCAGGAGCTGCTGGGTAAAGGTGAGAGTGTGTTACACGCGAGTCCTAACCACGTTAACTGTCTTATGGGTATGTGTGGTGTTCAGCTGAAAAATCTAAAAGCTGGAATAGCCAAAACCCAGTAAGTGTCAGTCTTAGAGTTCCGATCTTAAGTTGAATACATGGTTTTAGAGGAAACCAGGTTGAAATAGTCACCAAAATAATTAGAAACGCTGGTCGCAAATATTTTATTAGTGCACCAAAGTTTAACATTCAGCAGGTCAAATTACTGTAATTTCATATTGGTTATGAGTAACATAATTGTGCATAATCTGTAATGGCTAATACTTTGGGGAAACTCTGATTTTAAGCTG